CCCCTGCTAGCTCCCTCAACACCCTGGGGTGGAGAGCATCTGGACCTGCTGACTTGAACACGTCCAGCCCCTCCAGAAGTACTCTAACCCGGTCCTCCTCAACCTTAGGTCTTGAGGCGTTCCCCTCGAGTCCGTTTTGAATCACGGTGGGGGAGTCCTGGTCCCTGCACAAGAAAACGGGGCTGAAGAATTTGTTAAAGAGGTCTGCCTTCTCCTCTGGCGCAACCACCAGCTTGCCCAGCATATCTTGCAGGGGCCCCACATTTCCCGGTGCCTTCTTCATCCTCCCTATATATTTGAAAAAGGACTTTTTATCATCTTTGATCTTGGACGCTAGTCCTAGCTCTATAGCCGCCTTAGCTTTCCTAACAGCCCCCCTACAGGCCTGAGCAGTGGAGGTATACTCCTCTTTGGAGATCGCACCGCCCTTCCACCGGGTGTATGCCGCCTTTTTGGCAACCAGACATTCCTGGACATCCTTGGTGAGCCAGGGAGGCTTTCAGGAGCTCTTGCCCCCCTTGCTTCTTGTTGGGATCGTCACCCCTTGGGCCCTGAGTATCGTCTCCTTAAGGAACGACCACTCATCTTGGGCACTGAGTTCTCCTGCCCTCGAGAACCCCAGCGCCTCTCCCACCAATCTCCTCAACTCGTTGAAGTTGGCCCTCTTGAAGTCTAGGGCTACCGCCTTGCTGCAGGCCTGTGACACCCTGCGCTGGATGGTGAATTCCAGCAAGCGATGATCGCTGTCACCCAGGTGGCCATGGACCTGGAGCCCCCTTACCAGATCATGATGGTTTGTCAGTGCTGGTTTGGACTGGAAGTGGTCTCTGGAGCTCCCTTCCAGCCCTTTTCTATGAGTTTATGAAAGGCGGCTCCACGAGCCTGGGCTGGCTCCATGCTGGGGCTCTTGTTCAGTCTGAGCATCGTGCTGGCTTGTTTCTGGGCATCGAGGCCCAGGGCCCTGAGCTTTGTGGAGGAACAGAGGGCCCAGATGTTGGCACTGCCTGAATGGGTTCCCCGGCAGTCTTGTTGCTGGTGTCACTGGCAATGCCTTGATTTGAGGATGATCTCTATCACAGCTCATTGATGGGTCTGAGGTGGCTTAAGAGTGTAATCCTTGAGCCGTGGACCCATCTACAGAAGTCTCAGGTCCTTCTGCAGGGGATAGTTTGCCATAGGCCCGAATGCCTCTCCTTTTCCTTCCTCCATTCTCTCTTCTCTGCTTCAAGGGCAAGACGCTTTCCCTTGAAATGGGCAGGTTGTGGCACCCGGCTCTTGGCATCAGCATCCATGTTCTAGAGGTCTGCCTCCGACATCTCCTTGTAGCACGTCCTCTGGCTGCCACAAGATCTCAGATCGCAGCTCAGCTTGTTTTAGGGGCCCAAGAGTCAGGCATCCACACAGTGCTTGGTCCAGCAACACCGGTGCATGAGGGTCCCTGACTCAGTGCTGGTAGCACTGCCTTCAGCAAGGATGCTGCCGTTTGTGCAGCAATCTTCCCACTTGATGTGGAGGATTTTTTGGAAGCATCGATGGTGATGCCCCTCCAGGCTCTTGAAATGATGATGGTCAGGGGGATGACGAGTGCATTGCAGACCTGATCTTGGTGTGTTTCCAGAGATTGCAATGAATAAAGACACACCAAAACAATGTCCCAGAGAAGGCACTTGTGCACCAGATCCTGTGCTGGATCTCCTTCTCAAGATTCACTCGCTGAGAGGTAGCTGCCAAGGGAGGGGAGGTGCTTGACTACCTCCTGGGTGTTTCCTTCAACAGTTACTTGGGGGGGGGGCTCACATTCATGGCTGGGTGCAGGCTGATAGAGCACTTCAGGCTTCTCAGTGCTGAGAGAGACCAAAGTTTGGTAACTTCTCCAAAGAGATCTAGTGCAGCCCGGAGGCTTTCCTCAGGGGTTCAAGGCTGGCGCAGTTAGCATATTGAAGATCAAGAATGGTTAATTTTAATACTTTGGTCTTGAAGTGAAAACATCAGAGATGGAAGAGCCCTTCATCTGTTTAGTATGCAATAGGATTTAAGGCTGGGGATGGGGACTGAGCT